TGGCCCAAATAGTTGAGGCTCAGCTAGTCATGTGAGAAACCCCAGATAATGCTCCTGGCTTCAACCTGGCCCAACTTTTGCAATTGCAGCCATCTGGGGAGTGAACCAGTAGCTAGAAGATTCTGTCTCTGTCTCTCAAGCAAAATAAATAAGTAAATCTTAAACAATTAGCTGACAACAATTAAAACCATTTTCCAGGGGCAGGTGTTTTGCCTTCTGGTTAAGCCACTCCAGGCTTACTACATCCCATATTAGCATGGCTGAGTTCAAGAAGGCCTGGGTACCTTTTGGTTTCCAGCTTCGTGTTCATGCGTAGCCTGAGAAGCATCAGGTGATGGGTCACTTGTGTTGTGCTTGTTTCTTGGGAGATCTTCTTGGGAGATCTAGTTTCTACTTGGCTGTAAGCTTCTGGGGAATGAACCAGTGGATCAGGGCTGTCTCATTAACTCAAATAAGTATATTTGAGTATTACTAAGTTTATAATATAGACCTTTAAAAATGTGCTCAATTATTAGTGAGCTGGTATGCTCTTATACTTGTAAATTTCCTATTTCTCTTTCTCACTGTTGGCTTCTCCATAGAGCATTCTAAGCAGCTTTATTTGTTTCTTTGTATTTTCTTGAGTGCCCCATTCCTGCATACCATTACAAATGGTGAATGAGAGAGCAAAGCTTGTTTTTATGACAGAATCAGAAAAGAGAATTAATGGGGGGATATATTGGCTAACAATATATTCCTGAAGCTGAAACAGAAACATTGAGAGACAGTCACAACATCATATGATAGGCCATGTCATTTTTTTCACCTGAAGAATGATTGCTCTGTCAGTGTAACTGATATCTTTTATAAAAGTCCTGCTTCTCTTGCACTCATGGAAAAATTAATACTTAGTAAATTAAGGTGGAGCTTATTGGTAACACTGTCACTTATCTTACTATTAACATGTGAAACCTGCAGGAAATGTTTCAGGTACAACGTGACAGCCATTGTTTCTTTATTGTTCTTGTGGAAACAAAAGCAGCGATATTTAAGTGACTTTGAATAATAAAATTTTACAGCTAGAAAATCCTTAGGCAATACAAATTCTCAAACCTTTTATCACTGAGCTTGTGACTGAAGTTAATCTGACTGCTGTAGGTCACCACTGGTTAGCTTCACATCTCTTGACCAATTGTAGGTTTCTTAGGCTCATGGCTTAAATTGAGAGAGAATAATATCCTTACGAGGTATCATTTTGTTGCTAAATGTTTCAACAGGAAGAAGCTCAGAAATAAAAAAAAAACTTGTCTAATTAGAAAAGTGTGCAAATCACAAATTATAAAACAAATGAGTATATCATGTGATCACTTCTCAGCTCAAGAAGCAGGTCATGGAGGCTGGCATGTGGCACAGCAAATTCAGCTGCTGCTTAGGCCCCCAGAATCCTGTATTAAAGTACCAAATCAAGTCTCAGCTGCCCTGCTTCTGATTCAGCTCTCAGTGTACCTGGGAACAAAGCAGATGATGGTCCAAGTTCTTGGGTCCCTGCCACCCTGGTTGGAGAACTAGATGAAGTTCCTGACTGCTACCTTTGGGTTGGTCCAGCCTTGGCTGTTTTTAGCTAGTTAGGGAGTAAATTAGTGGGTAAAAGATCTTTCACTTTCTCCCTCTCTATGACTCTTCCTTTCAATTAAAAAAAATCTTAAAATTAAAAAACACAACATTGCTGGGAATTCAGAAGCTTCCCTCTTGTTCCCCACGTAGATGCTCTACCTTTTTTTATACCCACAATGCCATGAAACACATAGCAGAGAGTTAATCTTGTAACTATTACCATACTACTGTGATGTGGTTTAAAATGGCAGGAGGGGTAATTGGGGAGTGATGAAGGTAAGGGGCAGGAAGAAATACTTATATCTACAGAACTATATAATGGAAAACAATTATAGTAATGACAATAAATCCTACAAAAAGATTCCCTACTTGCTCCAATCTTGACTTAACACATAGCTAAGCAGGTTTTGAGATGTTCATAAATAGAATCCTACAGTCTGGCTTTTGTTGTGGGTAGCAGCTGTTTATGTATCTCATTGTCCAGGGATTTTCTCTGGACTGTATGTTACAAAAGGAGGCACCACAGTTTTAGTTCTGTTATTGGTAATTCAGATTGTTTCCAGTTTGAGTCTCTCCTAAAGACAATGATGATATAAACATTGTTCTTGTGGTGAAAATAAATCCCACAATCATTAGATTGATAACACGTAGGCGTGATATCATTGGTTGTGCATGTTTAAGTTTAGTAGATACTGCCAGGGCCTTTCTAAAGTACGCATAGTGTAACCACTCCACAGCCATTGTCTTACACACACTGAGCAGGTGGCACCTACACTTGTAGTCTTTCTGATGCATGGATGCTGCCATCTACATGTTTGGAACTGGTATTTGTCCTCTTTGCTAATCCAGTCCATCACATCTTTCTGTTTAGTGACATTTAGAGATCTGTGAAATGCCTATTCATCTTTCTTTCGCGTTTCTCTATATTAGCATGTTTACATATTTATATTTTAAGAAGCTGATTTCCAGGAGTAATACTTATATATTTTGGATTTTGCTTCTGTCAGGTATGGATTATAAATACCGCCTTACTTTGAATTTGATTTTTAAATCTCTTAATAGTATATTTTCATGAACAGGAGTACTTAACAGAGTCCATGTTTTTAATCTGTTTCTTCTGAATTGGTGCTGAGAAATATTTCCATGCACAGGATTTTGAGGATACTCTTCTGTTCCCAAATGCATGTCTTTTACATTAAGAGTGGTAATAAGTTTGGGATGAGGTTGGTTTGTTGTCTGAGGTAGGCATTGTGCCAGTCATCTTGCATTTCCTCTTGCACATTCATTGTTAACAATCTTCACCCTGTTCCCTGGCCCAGGAAGCAGACCTGCCATGCCTACCGAAGTCTGAGGGATTCTGCTGAGGTAGAGGGCTTTCTTTATTGGGCAGTGCTTAGGAATTAATAACCAGCATCCTGAGCTTGGGACCTTATTACCGTGAACACTGTAGAAAGTCTCTTCAGAAAGACTCCAATCATACTTTTGGATGCTGCTTTTCTTTTTCCATGCTCTTATTGTAAGAATGCCAAACCGCTACAAGTTTGTGTGTATTTTGTGTTGAACAGCTATTTTTCTGCAGATGGAAAGTAGGAAAATTCTTACACTCCTCTGGACACCTTGCTTGAAGAAAACTTTGATAATGTCTGTTGTGCAAAAATCTCCAAATTTTTTAACTTTTTGAAATTTCTTTGTAAATGTTAATGCCAGAGTTACCCCTTTATTCAATGAATCACCTGATACAAGAAATTCATTTAGACAAGTTTATATTTATTTAGATTTTTCTTATGCTATAATAATCTGAGCATCCTACAGTTTACCTGTATTGATCATGGATTACATGTTAACTAACATTTTGGAGAGGAAACAAATACAATAAATCAAGGTTATTTTCTTCTTTATTTACTCTTAGAAAGTAAATTCAGTCTAATGTCAGTGCTTCCATTTATGTACTAGACACAAAGCCCAATCTATCATTCACATTATCCGATAAATTTGTTTTTTTTTTTTTTTGGCAGATCTCTTTTCTGTTCACTGTTGAGGGAAAGAACTCACATTTTTTTCTTTTAATTTATGAACTAAAAATAAGTGTTGAATTTATAGAATGGGGACGTTCAAGCTGACCCAGAACCATCATTAACTTTGGTGATAACTTTATAAATTTCATAGACACATTTCTCATAGCTCTCTACTCCATAATCAGAGAATGCAAACCATTAACTATTACATGTTAACTATTTCTAGTTATAGAATATGGTAACTACAAATAGGTGAAACTGACTTGGACACGGATCAAAGAATGTCTTAGAATCTTTCTTTGCTAGATAAGACAAATGATTACATTAGTATTTCTCTTCAAATATTTTTTTAAACTCCTTTGTAACTATTTGCAGATAGAAATAGAAGTATTTTGAGTGCTGATCTCAATATGAAATATAGAATCCACATAATGCACAAAAATATTGGTGGTATAACATTCAATAATCAGGATGTCATGAATTTTACATTAAAATTTCAGTTACATAGTAAAAAATAGAATTGTTATAGCTAGAAAAAAATATTTTCAGAGGCAGCAGATAGCCTTGCTGGAAACACACACTCTACAACGTAGACAGAAAATCCAGGAAGTATGCAAACTACACACCAATATAGTCAGTATATTAAATTTAATCAGAGATTACGCAGAATATGACAGAAACAGCAGTTTACTAGAGTAAGTGTAATCTGCAACATGTGAAAACAGTTTAGAAAATGATTTAAGGTCTTACTCTCTGACAGTAGGCTTGTGGAAATAGAGACATTGAGTCAGACAGGTTTGATGCTTCATCTGGTGCTGTCCTGTCACCAATTCGATTTCAACCAAAAGTTTCATGTGGATTCAAAGCCACAATCAACATTGGTTGATATTTTGGTGAGTATTTTGGATGTAAAAGCATATTCTTTCTAATAGCTGAAAATTTAACTTCAAATACAGTTGTGGGAAATATAACCTCAAAATGCATGTAACTGTTTAAGCTAAGAATGCTTAGGTTGCCATGGATAAATTACTCAATAGCAAGTGTGCTTTTATACATTAGAGACTACAATTTGATATTAATTCTGGTGGGATTCATAGAGACATCAGTGTCCAACTGTATTTGTGAAAGCAGGAATATATTAGGTTACTTTGTATTTTAATTAGGCATATGGACTGACCTAAGCATAGACTCTCCTTTCTCATCATATAGTTACAAAAACTGTACATTACAAACAGTATAGAAACAAGCTGAAAAGAATGTGCCACACATCCTGGATCATTATCTATATGCACTTAAATTTACAGATACAAAAGAAAATACAGCCTACTCCATTATAGTGCACAGTTATTTTTTTTAAAGATTCAATGTATCATTAGCAAGTAGCCACCCATTTTAGTTGTCCCCAGCAGAAAGGATAAGGGCAAGATCTGTTCGGTAGAGCTTCCCTCCATCCGACAAAGCCATTATGTTCTTCTTGTATGTTGGAATATTATTAATATCCAGTTCCTGTGACAGATGAGATTGTAATCCAGTTAAATGTGGAAGTTCATTAACCACTATCAAGTGATACATGTGAAATCAAACCTGCTTGTTACATCAGTCCAGTAAGTAAGCTGAAGGGGTGGGCGCCTAGCCTAGTTTACATGCCCATGTCCCATTTCAGAGTTCCTGGATTCTATAGTGGGCTCTGGATCTTTACTCCAGTTTCCTGCTAATGCAAGACTCTGGGAAGCAGCAGGTGATGGCTCAGGTAATTGGGTTCTTTCCATGCACTTGGATAATCCATATTGAGTCTCTAGTTCCTGGCTTCGGTCTAGGCCAGGCTATTGTGGTGACTTGAGGAATGAACCAGCAAGATGGGAGTCCTATTTATGTGTGTGTGTGTTCAAGTCTGTCTCTATCTCTGCCTCTAATATAAGTTAATAAAAGAGCTGGATTAAACTCTTACATAAATTTGAATAATCACAGGTTTTCTTAAAGCCTGTTTATCATAGTTCCACTGATGTGGGCCCGAACCAAATTAAGTCAAGATATGAAATGTTCTTGTGGTGCTGCACAAGTGGTTTTAAGTAGATTTCCAAAATATGTGTGACTGCTCCAAGTTAGATTCTAAGATCTGCTTAACAAGTAAGTAGCATGTTAAATACATTACCTGTTTATTCTTCTCACACAGGTCCTTTAGCAAAGCATCCAGTTCATTTTCATCTATGTATCCATTGCCATCCTGGGGGATGAGGAAAGAGTACACAACCATCTTACAGTGGTGGTGGGTGACGAAATGACTGCATTTCATTGAAATACTCAGAAAATTCCCCACTGTACATAAACCTCAGTTTCAGGCCATCACACTTTCTACCTGCTCCCAAGTTACAAAAACAAGTGAGTTGTTTCTCATTCATGTCATACTCATAAAATATCAAACATTTCTGTAAAAGTTTATACTTAAATCATTGCCTTATGTTAACACTATTTTCTCCTTCTGAAACAGGAGAAGTAGAAAGGAAGTCATAATAGGTAGGAAAGTGAGAAAATAGTCAAAAACATGTTCATGTGTTATGTGAGGATGCTGAGGCCTGTGAGTGGCAGTTGGTTTAAAGCTCATGTTTCCACACATGAAGAAATGGAGGCTCAGGGATGTTTCTTGTCAACGCCTCCCAGCCAAGAAACCACAGTGTGGAATCTGATCAGGCTTTGTATCCTCTATTTCCTGGGGGAAAATAAATTAGCCATATGATTTAATAGCACATGTTTCTTTTAATGTGAGCCTCAAGTGTCAGGTTGTTATTCTCCTTGAGTGAGCTTTGTCTAAATCCTTAAATATCGAATTGTGTATAAGAACAGACTTTCAGGCATCCAAATGAAACTCAAAAAGATACAATTATTGATTTACGGACAACATGACTTTAATAAAAAAAAAACAAAACCTAAGCACTCTGCAAAAACCTCTTGTATTAGTAAACAAACACAGTAGAGTTGCAAGACAAAATATCCACCTTAAAGCCAGTTGTCTCTATGCACTAACAACAGAATTATGAGAAGGATTACTAAAATCCTGTTATCAATAGTATGAACATCAAAGAATACTTCAAGTTATGGATTGGATAGAAGTTGGTTCTCCAAACTCATGAAGTTGTTTAAACTCTGAAGTCTTTTTTTTTTAAGATTTATTTTATTATTTTGATTGGAAAAGCGGATATACAGAGAGGAGAGACAGAGAGGAAGATCTTCCGTCCCATGATTCACTCCCCAAGTGAGCGCAACGGTCGATGCTATGCTGATCCAAAGCCAGGAGCCTCTTCCGGGTCTCCCACACGGGGGCAGGGTCCCAAAGCTTTTTTTGTGCAAGGCGAGGACCTTAACCACTGCGCCACCGCGCTGGGCCCAACTCTGAAGTCTTAATGTTAAATGTTGGTGGAAGAAAGGCGGAGACTTGATCTAGTAATGGACTGAGGAGGTGGGTCTGGTCTATGGGAGATGTTATGGTCATGTCAGGTTTGCCTAGTTATCTCTGCTGAATTCGCCTTAGCTTGTCTGCTTTCTGGCTCACCATGCAATCATGTGTCAGCACCCCCTCTGCTATTTCCAGCCTCCTCCACACACCAAACTATTCAGGTAGATGGAATAGAAGTAGCAAAAAGTTGGTCATACACTTAAGAGTAAACTTATTAAGAAAGTGAAAGACTTGCATACTGAAAACTATACAACATTATTGAAGGTTGAAGGAGACACAAAACACATAAAAAGACATCCTGTGCTTATAGGCCAGAAGGCTAATATTGTTATAAACCAAAATGTCCATATTGCTGGAAGAAATCTCTCAATTCAATATTTTTTTTCCTGCTGTATTCCAATGGCATCTTTTTGCAGATATTGAAAACTGATACTCAGACTCATTCTAAAAAATTCTAACAGTCCTGAGAAAGAATAAAGGTGGAATCTGTACACTGCCTGATTGTAGCGTTAGCAGATACACAGATCAATGCATCAGCATAGACAGCCCTAAAGTCAGTGTGTGTGTCCACTGATAGTTGATAAGGCTAATCTCTTCAGCGAATGGGAGAAGAGGCATCATGCAAAAGGATGAAACAGATCCTTGTGCCATACACAAATATCTCAAACTATAGTAAAGATCTAAATGCAAGACATGAAACTTTAAAATTCATAGAAGGGAGCAAAGCATTGTGACACTGGTCCTATCCGTCATTTTATGGATCTGAAATGACAAGCACAGGCAAGAGAAGCAAAAGCAGATAAGCTACACTGGTCTTGCACAGCAAAGGAACAGCCAAGTGAAAAAGCAGCCCACAGAAAGAGAGGCGTTATCTTGCAAGCTGTTTATCACATACGGAGTAAACTTCCAAAGTATGTAAGAAACTCACAAAGCTCATTAGTTTTTAACAAAATATCTAATCTAGCTGAAAAACATGGGCTAATAGCTAGGTTAGACATTTCTCCTTGGAAGAAGTACAAATTGCTAACAGGTAAATAAAAATGGTCAGCATCACTGACTGTCAGAGAACTGGTTAACACAGAGGCAAGATAACGGAACAGAAAGGCTACTTGCTTGGCTTGCTTAGTTTATGCTCTGTATGTATGTTAAAATATAACATTCAATCCCATACAATTATATTGCATTTTTATTAACTTTCAAAATTATTTATGAAAGAAAGCAAATTGCAATCACAATGAAGGGCAAACATTTACTACAGTAGTTTATATGGTGACTGGGATATTGCACTCCATATTGGGAGTTCCTGGGTTTAAGTCTCAAGTTCGATATTTCTAGTTCATTTTCTTGATAATAAGTACTTCGCATGGATCAAGTACTTAGAGCCCTACCACCTATGACACCCAGAATGAAATCCAGATTCCTGGTTTCTGCCTGGCTCAAACCAGCTGTTTTGGGAATTTAGAGCATAAAGCAGCAAATGGAAAATCTTTTTCTATCTGCCTCCCAAATCATTTTTTTAAAGGAATCACAGGGCCCTACGTGGTAACCTGGCAGCTGAATTGCTTGCCTTGCACGTGCCAGGATTCCATATGGGTGCTGGTTCTAATCCCAGCAACCCTGCTTCTTATCCAGCTCCCTGTGTGTGGCTTGGGAAAGCAGTTGGGAACGGCCCAAAGCCTTGGAACTCTGCATCCACGTTGGAGACCCCAAAGAGTCTTGGCTCCCTGTTTTGGATCAGCTCAGCTTTGACTGTTGCGACCACTTGGGCAGTGAATCGATGGATGGAAGATCTTCCTCTCTGTATATCTGACTTGGGAATAAAAATAAATAGTTCTTTGCAAAAAAAAAATCACAATGAAATATCAATTCACATCTTTAAATATGCTTATTATGAAGCAATAAGCAAGAGAAATATTAGCAGACGTTTGAATAAAATGGAACGCTTTTAGGCATATGATAAGCATATGATTCAGCCATTAAGTCACTGCCTGGAGTGCACACAATTATCTGGAACACTGAAAAATGGTTATGATGATGCTTAAGCAAGTTGAAAGTAGGAATACCATGCGACTGAGCAATTCCAGTGCCTGAGCATCTCTCCTAAGGAGATAGATCCTCAGGATCTCAAAGAGATATGAACACTGCAAGATTCAGTGTAGCATTACTCAGAAAACAAGGTGTGGAAACAAATCAAATGCCTACCTCTGGATGAATGGATAAAGAAATAATACAGTCATACACTCAGATATTTTACACCCTTAAAAATGGAAATCTTGCAAAAGATGACAAAAATAGATGAAACTTTAAGACATATTAAGTGAATTAAGCCAATCAGAGGACAAATATTCCACAGCTTCATGCAAATGAAAACTCCTACAAACTCATACCCTAGAAGGGCTGTTGCCACTGCCAGTGAAGGGGAAACTGCTAGTCAAAAAACATACAGGTTCAGTTATGAAAATGAGTAAATACTAAAGACCTGCTGAACAGTATTGTCTAGTCAACAACACTGTATTTTACATTAAAAATTTTGTTGAGAGGAAAGATCCTGCACTGTTATACCATAATAAAAAGGATAAAAATGAATTTTTTACCTGATCATATAACTCAAAAGCCTTATTGAACTCTTTCCCACACATTTTGACTCCCTAGGAGACAGAGAATAAAGGTTATAATGTTCTTAATATACTCCAGGATATTTCCCTTGAGAAATATCTTACATTCCATCTTTTCAATGATAGCCTTATTTGCTGTAGAAAAAAGTTAAATACCTGAAATTTAAGAAGGAAATTCTCTTGCACTGGTAGTAACCTTTTGAGAGAAAAACATAACAGTACATTGTATTTTTGCAAAGGGAACAGTTTATGAGAACATATATGTAGTCCCTAAACTTACCTTGCCATCTCGGTTAATTCCAGCTTCCCATCATTATTTGAATCAAACAGTTTCAGCTGGAAGACAGAATGACATTGTCATGGTTCACTGAGTGAGGAGTATGAACATTCAAGATAACTCACACGACATACGTAAATAGTGAAATTTTTTAAACAAATGTTCTTTAAACTTGCAATTCAAATTTTGATTTTTTAATTTGAGTAAATTGCCCAAGAACAAAAGCTGGAATAGAGTAGTACTGGTTTTAGACTTCAAGGCTACCATAATTTCTTTTCCTTGACAATGTATGTGTTAGTGTGTACAGCTTGTGGCACAAGTGCCTCCTCAAACAATGTTCTGACAAAAAAAATATTGAAGTGGTTTCATATTTTTGGAGCTTAAAAATATAAATAAGAGAAATATAAGGATAACATGCATAGATCCATAGGAAATAGAATTCTACCATAATTTTTGTTTTCCATTGGGTATGACATATTCATTAAATCTTAGTAACTCCCCATGACAGTTACACATACGCCATATACTAAGACCCCCACAAACATAAACACCCTCATATCAACAGTTTGGAAATATTTACACTTTTTAAAGTGACAACTGTTGCCATGTTATAGAAATGTATAAATATAATATACATACATGTGGATATAAATGGAATACTAACTATATAAAAGGCATTGCTTTGTTTCTGAAATAAAGAATTTGATGCATATAGGCTAATGGATGTAGAGTTAGTGATTTTTTTTTTAGTGACATCTTTTTAAGGAGAAAAGGAAGAATATTCTGTTTTCCAAAGATATTCTTAGAATTCTTTGTAGAAGGTAGATTTTTTTCAGGGTCCTACCCTGACCTGACATTTTTATAATCTGTTACTGTTATACTGTCTACCAAGCTAGTTGGACAACTAGATCACACAGAGTAATGCCTATAGGGAATGTCTCCTCACATATATATTTAAATTTTAATTAGTTCTTGGTTAATTTGCTTCCTGAATTTGAACTGGTTTATGACATTTAATCAGATACCCTAGGCCAACCCAAGAGAGGGAAAGTCCCATCTGAGTGGGTTCTGAAAGGCTGCATAAAATTTCTACCTGGAAAGGAAATTTGACTTTAAATAGCTTGTCCCTTAAGGTAAGAACAAAATAGAAAATTGATAAATGTAGGTTATTATTCATTTCCCAAAGGTCATTCAGAGCTCATATCTGCCCATTGTGGCAAACAGCCAGAAAATCTCCCCTTTTGTTTGCTAATGTTATAAATGGACAAATAATGAAAAGTTAAGGGAGACCATGAAGATATTTTTGGTTGTTTTGAAAATGAAGATTAGTCTATAACAAATATCGCAGTTTTATGAGCAAAGGCATACATGAATTCCCACTGGCTATTCCCCACCAGAGGCAAGTAGGTTGAGAGGCTGAAAGTAAAACGCAGTCCCTCATAACACTGTTTCTCAACAAAGTGAAAAATCCTCATGAATCAATCTAACAAAACAGCAGCTCTTTTAATACACAACTATGTTTTCTGGGTTACTCATTTAAATCTATGTTGGGACAATTCACAGGATCTGGCCTGGCGTGGTGGCCTAGAGGCTGAAGTCCTAACCTTGCATGTGCTGCAATCCCATTTGGCCACCAGTTTGTATACTGGCAGCTCCACTTCCCATCCAGCTCCCTGCTTGTGTCTTGGGAAAGCAGTCAAGGATGGACCAAAGCCTTGAGTCCCTACAACCACGTGGAAGAACTTTAAGAAGCAGCTGCTGGCTCCTAGCTTCAAATCAGCTCATCTGCGGCCGTTGCGGCCAGTTGGGGAGTGAACCAGCAGACGGAAGATCTTCCTCTCAGTCTCTGCTTCTCTCTGGAAATCTGACTTTCCAATAAAAATAAATAAATCTTTAAAAAAAATCTAAGGTATCTTCACAGTGCTTAAAGCATTTAAAATATGTTCACATAATTGAGTTTTGTGTATATATACATATATACATATATTTCATACAAATTATAAATCATAATTTAGTGATATATTTGTAGTGGTTTTATAGGAAAAGTAAGTACTATTTGATCGTTAAAATTTGCATACATCTACTAGAAAGTCAATGTCCATATATGGAATCTGGAAATTAATTCCTACACTGTAGCACTCAGCATTACAAGATATAAGCATCTTTACAAATGAAATAATACCCGTGTGCATGTGATGGCCACATCGGGGTTGATTTATTTCGGCCTATGTAGCTTTAGGAGTAGCAAGAGCACAGTAATAATTCATGAGCTCCTGGCTACTGGGTTTTCACAATCAGTCTTACCATTAGGTCTGTATACTCATCTAATTTCATGTCATCAACAGTCTTGTTTGCTTTCTCCAGCAGGTCCTTTAGAAAGTTCTGTTGAAATCAAGAACACTCAGATAAGTGTTATTGATAACATACAGTCTGCTCCCACTTCAGCCTGACGTGAAACAGGGCATTCCAGAAATACGAGAAAGAGTTGCTGTGAGGGTAGAGTCGGGTGAGGAGAGGGCTCTAGGCACAAGACTAAATTTGGCTTTCTTTAGGATGGCAATGAGCCTGCCAGTGATAGGTACAGTATTTGCAATACCCAACATTTGACCCTTCATATACTGGCTATGCTACATTTTTCTGGTGTCAATGAAAGAACTTTCCAGACTGTATAGCATATAAAAATCTGAATACAAACACTGAAATCTCTCCAGCTCAATGAATGCCCCTCTACTTCATATCTTCACAAGCCCTTTTGTGTGACCAGTCTGAGGGACACATAGGGGGTCTTTATATCTCTGTCACATGTGTCATCAATGCATCATGGATCAACAAACCAAGTCATCAATAAACCAGAAAGACAGACAGCTCGAATTTCAAATGTACTTCCTGCTCTCACAGGGTGTATTTTTGTATTAGTTTATGGTTACTATGAATCTCATTTCTCTAAGGGGCTAGTCAATTGGCTCTTAAACAACATAGTCCAAGCCACCTTGATTCAAATATTCAGCTGACCTCTCACACTAAACTGAGTGGCCACAGATGGAGTTATCTAATCCTTGATATATTAATCACATTAAGATAGAGATTCATGTGGGAATTAAAAAAAAATGATTTTAAACTTAACAATGGGAGCTAAGGTCTAGATTTCATTTTTTTTTTAAAGAGACATAAATCAAACAAAAGCTTCCCCGCAGTTTGGCTTATAAATGACAGCAGAAGTACCTAAGCATGGAATTGTTGTTCATTTTGTCTAGTACTCTTCCTTCCCAACTCCTCTGTTTCTTACTGAAGGATTAGGATTCTTTGGCTTGGCAGTGGTTCATCTTCTGAAATGTGCCTGTTCTGCTGGCATGATTTGGCTTCTCTTTTCAAAGGAGGAGACTTTCTCTTGGTTTGATGAATGTATTTTCACTTGAAACATTCCACTTCAAATCCAAAGTGAAGCATGGAAATTTCAAAGTTATCTGTTGGGGGTGAATTTTATTTTTGAGCCTTCTGAGACTTTTGTCAGAGATTAATTGGGTTAAAAAGCCTCATCAGAGACTAAAATGGTGGTCACAAAAATAGCCTTTGAGAAACCTGGGGACGCTGAGACTCAAAGTCGTGTCTGAGAGCAAGCGGTGCTTTACTCTATTATGGATCTTAAAATTAGCTTTCTTGAAAGATCCATTAAAAAAGAATGCCAACTTATCTTCAGAATTCTCTAGGGAGGAGAACTTTTATTTAGAATTTCTCTCTGAGAACAAAATTTGGAACAAAGGAGGAGACTTAGCGTATTTTGAGGTCAGTGTTGGAAATGAGCTAAGGTTTTCATTATGAACTTGAAAGGATTTTAAAAAGATTTTTTTTGATGTGTCTAATAAAACATTGTCACCTTGTGGACTCTGGTTCCTGAGCTGTAGGTTATGAAAGTCATTGTTTTCAGTGGCTTTACATTAAAATGTTATGGGGCAGGCTTGGCCTACTGTTTAAGGTGCTGGCTGGGATACCCACAAGGTCAGTAAACTGGGCTGGTGTACTGGCAGTATTCTTGACTTCAGATTCCCACTAAGGTGGCCCTTGGGAGGCAGCAGGTGAAGGCTCAAGTACGTAGGTCCTTGCCACACTTGTGAGAGACCCATATGCAAGTTTTGACTCATGACTTCAGTCTGGCACAGCTGTGGCTATTGTCAGTACGTGGGATCTGAACCAGTAGAAGAGAGATCTCTATTTGTTTAGCCACATTTTAAATGAGTAAGATAAATGAATGAAAAATCAAACTTGCAAAAAATGTTTACAGACATTGTATCACAAGGCTGCAGTTGAATTCGAACTGTCTTAGAGATACTAAAAGCATGTTGAACTAGGATTAGGAAACTGTTTAATATTCATGCTTCCCCATACAGTTAAGAAGAGGTAATTTTCAATAACAGTTTGGAAAGTAGGCAACATTATAAGAAAAAAGCATTATTTGGTATTATCAGATAGATGAGGTCTAAATATACGTTCTAATTCATCTGAACTTTAATTTCCCTTTTTCTAGATTCAGAATGATAATACCTTGCCTTACCAGGATTCTGTGACGCTTAAATGTGAATGCACATCTTAAGCACCAATGATTGGCCCTGCCACACAGCAGGTGTATCATTAGCTGCTCAACAAAACCCGACTGGCCTCCCTGCTTATCACTTCATGTTCTGAAGTTACAGAAAACTAAATGCTTGATTTGAGATGCTGGAATAAATTAGAGGAAAGTAGGTGATAGGTACTTCCATATTTCTGAAAGGTTAGCAAATTAGCTTCATGAATAATATAAGTTACTATGTCTTCAACTTCACAAAATCTTCCACGAATGACACATTTCTTGAATCTCACAGTAAATCTGAGAGGAAGTTATTATCACCCCGTTTTAAAGATGGAACACACCAGAACACTGTGGAGATATGCCACTGGGTTAAGACCTGATCTCAGATCTCTGTATTTCCATTTTCCTCCTGCAACAATCATTCCTCTTTACCTCTTACAGGAATTGATACAGTCACCGCCAGTGTGTCAAGTGTTAGTAAATCAGGGTTTGGTTGGGATTTCTGTCAGTGTCTGGGTTGTGTGGCTTTCAGCAGATGACTACAGGATCGCTCACCCATTTTCATCCTCAGGGTAATACTAATTTGATTGAATTCATGCAAATATTATATAGGATTATAAGCAAAGTAGCTGGCACATAGTAAGCAGAAATTTTTTTCCTTGTCTTTTTTTGAAAAGGGAAGCTATTCATACAAGTGTTTATTTTTCAAAATAAAATTTCAGTGAAAGGAATAGCTTATTAAACTTGCACATAGTTTTATCAATGTCCACATCTGCCTTACATTGTACTTACTGCAAATCAATAAAATGCTAATATTTTGCATCACTGAACAGAATTTCCACAAGCACATAAAATCTCTGTTGATTTGTACTTCGTTAAGGGTGTGGAAGAGTGGGTGAAAATGTGTCCCACATTAGTTTCTTCAGTGGGAGGTTTTCTTTCAACCATGAAGTGCTTAGCAGTTCATAATTGTATTTGAAAGGAGAAAAAAAAAAAAAGCACAGGTTTTTGTCTGCTTACCTTCAGCTCCTCAGTTTCTATGAAGCCACTGTGATCAGTATCGTATTTTCTCCATGTCTGTAAATAATTTTGGATAAGGAAAAGCAAACATGTTGAAAAAAAAAAACCCTTCAATTCGCTTATTTTAAGATTTCTGAAAGTGACAACTTTCTGATACCTTCATGAATTCCTCACAGGACTTCAGCTGCTGGCACCGGAATAGCAGCAGGAAATTCTCTTCCGTGGGTAACACATGGGCCAACTGAAAGAGAGTAAGAGAAGGGCGGTTGCAAGGAGCTTGAAAACAAGTCCCCGCTATCATCTGGTGTTTAATTTTGTTTCCGCATTTTCCCTAGGAGCTAGTAGGAGATGGACATCAGCGTCAATGCTGCCTGGCTGGTACTTGGTTCTCACAAAGTGCAATCCTGTTTTCCAATGACCGTGTGCTCCGCAGGGCTTGGCTCTGGGGTTAATGTGGTGGCTGCTGCAGGCATACACTCAGAGACCACTAGCATCCTTTCTGCCCTGCTGAGCACACAGATTGTCCTGGTTCACATGCTCTGTGCCACAGGTTTCAGGGTATATGGAATGTGGAGCCTGTCATTTCGTTTGTTCTTTTTTTTTTTTTCAAAGATTTATTTATTTTTGGACAGAGTTAGAGGGAGGAGAGACAGAAAGATCTTCCAGCCGCTGGTTCATTCCCCCAGGTGGTCACAAGGATCAGAGTTGAACTGATCTGAAACAGGAGCCAGCAGCTTCTTCCCGGTCTCCCATGCAGGGTTCCAAGGCTCTGGGCCATCCTCTACTGCTCTCCCAGGCCATAAGCAGGGAGCTGTATGGGAAGTAGAGTAGCTGGGACATGAACTGGCACCTATATAGGATCCTGGTGTGTGCCAGGCAAGGACTTTAGCCACTAGACTACTGTGCTGGGCCCAGAGCCAGAATTTCTTATAAAATGAAAGAAATTGAGAAACATGAACATAGAGCAAGAGAAAGAAAGGGAAAAAAATGCATTTCCAAATCTGAGGAGAAAGCTTATTATGAGACATATAGGAAAATAAAATGAAGATGACTGTGAAGCAATGAAAAGAGGTAGAAAAAGCTATTCACAATGACCAGTGGGAAGTTGAGCATTAATAGAGAAGTTAGTTCTCAAAGTGTTAGTTTCTGATAACAGGACAGCCACTGCTGGGACCCAGGCCTGGGAAAGTTTTTAACTTCATGGCATGACTCTGTAATATTTCTCTTTAGATCTCATCTCGTAACTTCAATACTGGGATTTTTTTTTTGAAGGAACAAAAGTGTTCCAGATCCCATTTTCAGAATAATATAATCTATCTATTGTGTGCAGAGAAGGAGGGAGCTGGATTGATGGTCTCACTGCAGACATGGATTCTATTTCTGTCTTGGAAGCTACTCACTCACCCATTTCTAGACCTCAGTAGCCTCTTCACTACAATAAAGAGGCAAAACAGAAAAAAAAAATCTTCATTTCAATGACTGCATCTTCACTATCAAGGAATGGTCAGACCCACATTCCATTTCATCCGATTTCTGGAAGCTGATGAATTCCCCGAAGCATAAATTTAGACCGTACTCCTTCGATTTTATGCTAAAAAACTATAATCTAGATAAAACTTCAAGTCTGAGTTTTAAAAGATCTACAATGTTCTATGAAAAATCAACATAGCATTAAAAAATTATTTTAAGTCCATTAAAAATCTGTAATATGAAACACCACCTTACCTTAAACAGAAGCAAAATCATCTTTTGTAAACCTGTCCAATATGCTTTAACTTATTTTTATATGCTTGAAATAATACCTTAAATTCAAACCATTCAGTTGAGAAACACCACATACATGAGTGACTGTAAAAAGCACAAATATTTGATTGGTATGATCCAGTCAAAACATTTAAAAAATTTTTAAAAAGGTCAATAGTGTGGTCATATGATAATAGACTTGAAAGACAAAAGGAGGAGTATAGTGTTTGCCAGTAATTTTTAAAATGTCACTGGAGCTTGGTCCATAAACATTTACTTCACTTTCCTCTCTCTCTCTTTCCCTTTCTCATTCTCTCTGTGCACATATGGGCATGTTTTCTGGGCCTCTTGTTAAAATCATGACACACTTCAGTGGCCTTTGATTTTTCTTGAGTCATAAAATTCGATCCACTCAAAATACTGTGGTTCGAATTAATTTTGAGTTGAAATGATTCCGTTGAGAACGCCAAGGGATCAGAGACTGAATGACTTGACTTCGTGATTGGCAAAAATTGAAAATCACTATGATTTGATGCTTATTAGAAAATTAACAACATATTTACTGAAGATAGTAATATAATTAGCTAATTTCTTCCTTCATCCTAGCCTGCAAATATGCATTTGTTGGGGATTTATGTAGCTGCCGATAAGATAACCTGGAAGCTATGTTTCTAACCACTGAGAAGCAGATGACCATATTCGTATGAAGTCCCTTTTCCTCCTCTGCAAGTGAGATGATTGTGCAAAGCAGCTAAACAGGTTTTGATCACTCAGGGAGCCAGATCCCAGGTAGCTTGGCCTGGAGAGTAGGTCTGCACTCCCTGCTGAAGAGAAGAGGAAAGCTGTAAGAAAGGGCAGCAATGGCCTGATACTCTGCCCTCAGCCTTTTCTAGAGCCCCAACTTGCCTTTAATAATACTTTCTGGAAGAAGTACTGGAGAGTGTTTATTCAAAAATTCTGAAAGAAGTAGAGGTGAAAGGAAGAATGATACAGGAAGGGAAAAAAAACAGAAAGGGAATTAAATAAAAAGAAAATATGAATCTCCAAAGGGAGAAAACATGTCAGAGGCAGAAACTTCCAAGCACAGATTGATGGATCTGCCCAGCAAGGAAGTGTGTTAGAAAATGCTGAGTTACTGAACACTGGCCATGTGATAGCATCATTATACATTAATATAAGGTATTCAACAGAAAACAGACAAAGCTAACATCAACTCTTCCTTCATTTGTGGATACATACCTTTGACAGGTTCAACTTCTTAAGTTTGGTTGAAACTTCTCTACTATGGATTTCAAGGAGACACCAAACATTTCTTATTTACTGATTGTGAATGTCTAGTGTGGTGACCAGCTCATAAAATTCACATGCACAAAAGAAATGCTTATGGATTGGTGAATAGCTTTACTTCAATAGAAAAACTGTCTTGCTAAGACATATAGTGAATATATTTTATTAGCATAATTTTCTGCATTTCTTGGATTTTTATGATTAGTGAATATATTGCTTTGAATGAAAAAGGAATACTTTTTCTTAAACATTATATTTGGCATAAATTTATGTTTCTTTGTCTATGCTTTATTGATTTTACTTTACCAAAATATCTATCTATACACAATGTATTTATTCTGTTTTGATCTCATTGAACTCAGTGCAATCTAATTGATAAATGATAGAAATGCCTTAAATGTGTAAAATAATAAATTGTAATACAAATTAGCCACTAAGACTAATGAATTTTCCTGGATAGGATATGGTAATGACGAACATAATATCTTTTTCCTTTTTTTTTTATTATTTTCTTGATTTTTGATGATGATTACGTGGTTGAAGAACTTTTTTTCAAGATGCATTGCATAATTGGTGGTCCTGTATAGTCTATTGTTCTACCTATTTTACATACTAATCAGTATGGAAATTTCAGAGAGCGGCTCACAGATTCGCCAGCTATAGTATCTGACATGTTTACAACATGTCAAAGGTCTTTCATGGAGGATATTAAGTAGGCCTGCTTTATTCTCAAATTTGGTAACTCCTTGATGTTCAAAGAAACGCTCAATATTGCCTGTGTTAGGACTGTGGGTATTTTCTGGTTCTCTCTTTCATGAGCTCCCCAAGGCTTTTATGGGTTGCAGAAGGAAGTGAAGAATATTAAGGGCATGATTGGAAGGCAGATAGCTGAGACTGCAGACAAACCCTTCAGAGATTCCCATTTCGATGATGTTGTCCGCCACCGAAAGTAGGAAAGCAAAAACTATTTCTACCTGTTTATCTCCATTACCAATCTATCTACCCAAAGGATAAAATCCTATATTTTATTGTCTATTTCTTTGCCCAGCAAATACACAAATTTCAGTGAGTATTTCACTGAATTAAGCAAGGAAAGCATTTGATTGCATTTAGAGTCAACATTAGGCTGTAAATTCTTTGGAGAAAATTTGAAAACGTATGACTTTCATGTATGGCGTATGTTGCTATGTGCCAAGCACCTTTGAGGAATTGCTTGGCCTGATGGTGGCTGCATTTCCACTTGAATTCTGAGACTGATCCACAGGGGGATAAAAAGACCAACATCTCACTCATTAATGGGTGTTTCTCTGAAGGGTCACCCCCTGAGAGCACACTGCAGGGTCACGTGAGATCTCCATTGAGAATGTTGCACATCCCAGCACCTCCCTTTGCCCAGTCCTGTGGCCCTAACTTTGCTTCTACAGGTAGCAAGCCCATGAGTTCTTCCTAGCTGGAGTCAACCTCCTCTTGCTACTCTTTTACTTAGCTGCTTCCCAGGGAATTCAACCCACAATAGGGGTCTTTAAATATTTCTTCTATTTCTAGCAAATACGAATCCCTTACCCTTTGGTTTAGAGTAGGTTAAAAATGTTTGCTTTTGCTCATACGGCTACTAAATACTTGAAACTGTGACAGCTACTGAGGATTCAGTCACCACTAGTAAGAAGCTTACAAGAAAGCAGATAATAGTTTAAAATGGTTATTTTTCCTAACATTTTCAAAGCCAGAGATAAATACAATGACAAAACCTGGCTATTGAATGTGAGAGGGTACACGTGAAAGACAACCTCATTAGAGGTGGTTACTTGAAAGTGCATGAGGCATGTCTCTTATCAACATTTCATAAATTGCATAATGATCTACAAATGTATTTTTCTTAATACTGTTACTGTAAAATTTCTCCAGATTTTCCCTTCAGCTTTTGTTTCCTTATCTTCTTCTTTCACCTGTACTTTTAATTTTTCTCCTCTTTCCTAACACAGAATTTCTTTTCTGTAGCAGTTTTTTATCTTAAACTTGAGGGAATTTTTTTGTTTGTTTGTTTCAAAGCTCTGAGACAATGCAGCTTCTTTGTGACACTCTAATCTCTCATTAAAATTAGACTTAAAGGGTTAAAATTGAATAAAGTATACCTACTAAACTTTAAAATGTGCATGCATTTTGTTCTTTTAAAAACAATCGTATTTCTTGTCAGCCGATACATACTTTTAACTGCACAGACCGTTCTGAAGAAATGAAATAGGATAAGCTGCTAAGCCCATTGGTGCCTTTCAAGGAGAAATATATTAAACGTAAGATGACAGTCTTTTTCTACTAGAATTACAAACTGCGTCAAACCCAAAGAGCCAATCTATAATTTCACTGATGTCAGATTTCCAAAGCAGTTTTGAAAAATTAGGTTTACTTTATTTCATTTATGTTCATTTTAAAGCTTTTTAAAAATTATTGAAGATTTCATATCCTGATTAGCTGTCCTCTAACTAAATCTCATTCCTATTAATTTATCTATTCATATAGTAATGACGTTCACATGGGCAAAGTGGAAGTGAATACTCCTGGGAAAAATTTTAATTACAAAGATAATAATAGTATGGCCTCTCAATCCTATTTGTAGGAGGTGTTTAAAAATAAGTGTATTTAACACCGGTGTAACAAGTGTCCTAGTAAGATCAATTACTTGAAAACCAGGTTAGTCCTGTGGATCATAGATAAATTATGAGTAAATGTTGAGAACAGAATACTTCATGATCTGATGCACTGAGAATGCTATATGAGGACAATATTTTAAAATATGGTCTTATTAGATTATCCAGAAAAAACCCTCCACACAATTTCTTTAGCAAGTTGCAGAGATAAAGAATTCAAGATACCAACACATTTTGGAAAAGTAGAGATAAGGGAAGCAACAGTTCTTCCACAAATTTGAAATGCTTTCTTAATTCACAGACAAAAATCCATTGTTTTCCATTGAAAAAGTCATTGTCAAATATTTGACACCTGCAGTTTTTACTTTTGGAGACTCAAAAGAAAAATGTACCTATGGACAGATTATAAAATATTCATCCACTGTAGTTAAGTTCTAAGGCTATCTGTCAAATTAAAATAGAATTCGGAAACCAGGATGTAGGGCTTTTTTATTTGTTTGTTTTTACCATGCCATTGTCATAGGAACTACAAACATTTCATATTACGTTTAAACAGAAAGGTCTATATTACTAAAATACAAGATACAGGAATGAACCAAATACTTGATGCCTGCTGATGTAAAGTGATGGTGTTCATCCTGAAGTTGGGGATTGGTGTATCTAACTGCTCCTGTGTCAGCAAACAGCTGCATGGCCACAGGCAAACCATGTCATTTCTCCATTTCACTTTCATAATGTGTTGAATTTAAACTCTCTTTAAGGTAAGCTCATAGCTCTCTCTTTACCTCAAAACGTTGTTTCTTAATATATAAATAGAGAGAAGTAGTATTTAGGCAAAATACGTATTTCTGATACAACTTTAGAAGTAAGCTCATTTATTAAATCAGAGACATATGTAGGTGCCTTACCTCTACAATTCCTATTTTTCCATCATCTCTCTGCCCATACTGATCCACGAAAGTTTTCATTTCAGGTGATAATTCCTAAAATTACATAAAAACAGGAAAGAACTTTGTAAAAACATTCAATTATGCCTGTGGTGCTGTTAACATAAATTATTTTACAGGACAACAGAAGAGGGAACCTTAGGAATTTTGCTTGCTGATGAACTAGTCTCATGAAAATAAAACACCTAAGTGGTACCTGATGTCTATTAGTTTCAAATAAACGTAATGATCATAATTTTTAATTAAACACTATGATTCATCTTCTATTATTAGTTTTGAAATTCTTTGACAACGTATTCATAATTATTCAATTAATAACCTTTAGTGAATTTAAATATAATAATAACCGCTAATAGAGTTAAGCAAAGCTTGCTTCAGTGAGGTTAATTTTATATTATTGCACTATTTTTTTTATTTTCTTTTTCATACAGGATAGTAATATGTGATTTTGCTCTGGACAAAGAAAAAATGTGAATATCATAAGGTAATTGTTTTTGTAAGCAAGGAATGGTTTTCAGTAAGAAAGAGGCATTGATTGATTAAAGCAAGTTAAAAAGTTAACTATGGGAAAACCAACTCTCAAGTAAAACAGTGACTTGACAAATCTGAGCTGTCACCAGAGACAATGTTGATGGTCTTATTTTAAGCCACTGCTTAGATGCTGAAGATCTGCATCCCTGAGGGTAACTCTGGGAGCAGTGCTCCAGCTTGACTTTGTTTCCATTTTCTCCAAGAGGATGTTCTCTCCTCCAGGTAATGTAACACAATAAAATGCTATGAGTGACAAAGTAAATTTTTCTTTTTTGTATTTGACTTAAAAAAAAATCTGTTGTATCAATTATGTAATCTGTTCACAAACTGACAGATAAGAAAGTTATGAGCTATAAAGTAGTGATCTGAACACAGAGCTAGTATTCAGGAAGCTCTGTGTTTACCCTTGGGTCTCCAACATAGCCCATTTAAAATAGCCCTGTTGCATGAACTGAGCCTATTTAAAATAGGTCAGCCCTTGTGAATGTCCTTTTCTCTATCCTTGGGAAAGCAAATTGAGGTTTCAGTTTTCATCATAACTAACACTACGGTGGTTACCAACAACATGTTAGCTTTGGGGAGATAGAGATGAACATAATTTAAGGGCTATATTGTGACTAAACATGACTGGTAGGTTGGTTGATGTAATTTGTGGGCTATGTTGAGGCTAAATGTCATTACCACGAGTGTTTAGAAAATCTCTTCAAAATCAATGTAAACACTCTTAGTAGAATTAATGCATTGTCTAGTAATTGAATAACTTAAACGTAAAAAAGCTCTATGTGGATAAATTGAATTTTTTATGCTCTCATCTTGTTACAGGAATATCTGTAAGAGAAGTTTCTCTTTCATGGCAATAGTGGAAATGATAGTCTTCATATTTTAGAACACATCTTAAAGTCAGCAAAAAAGCAAAGAAAAAATCGTTCTTAAATATCAAAACTATGTAATACTACTTCTTTATTAGCAGCCTTTACATTTAGCTTATGAAATTTCTGGATTGCAATTATGCCCAATTCAATTTTTTATAATAGTGCAAAGCATGTCACCATCACCAACATTATCAACTAGTTATCTAAATTAAGTGAAGGAAAATTTAAAGACTAAATACTGAGAATAATGTAAAAGGGTAATTTTGAACACTTATTGGGCTATTTATTTCATTGATGTTATATTCTCTGTGAAATTTCAAAATTTAATATGACAGCCAAACAGTTTTTCCATTGTGCATTGAAATCTGTTATCCTATGGTTAGAAATGCAAAGAATTGGGTCAGGCTTTGTGTGCAGGGAAATATAAAAAAACATGTAAAAGTAAGCTTATTATAATGGGTTCAATGGTATAGTGAAACAGGCCAAGATACGAGCCTCTCAATCCAGGTCTTGACTTGGATTTTAAGTATTCAAAGTCCACATAACTAATCCAGAAAGGTATTCATAAACTGAAGTTTCAGGAAACTTGACATAGTCCTATATTTGTGCTCAAATTTAGTATTATTAGGTTATAGTCTAATAATTAAAGCTGTCCATAGAGCTAGGCAGTTTTGGAAAAGCTCTAAACTCCTTAAACTCTAACATGAACATAATATTTCCAAAAAAGGTCTGAATATTAAAGTAAGAGAAAGAAAAAATCAGAAAAGATGAGTGGAATTCATGAGACATTCTAAAATAAAAGTAAATCTCAATATTAAAATTATTTCTGGAAAAAGTAAAGTATGATTTAGCTGCTGGAAGCTCCTTCCATGCTTAACTCTGAATTTACTGCAAACTAAGACTTTTCCAGCCACATATTTTTCAATGAAGAGAATGAGTTTTGTCTAATTAGTCAAAGAAATATAGAGGTATAATGGTAGTGTTAGATACATTTGTATACATGGAGGAGGAAGGAGGGTGGAGAATACATAAGATGGTCTTATTAGATCTCAATCTATTAAACTCTTAGTTCAATATTATATTAAATCAGACTAAAACAATTCCTTGAGCACAATCTGATTTAAAATCAATTTGGCTTATAATTCTATCAACTAATAGTTGTATAATACATTAGGATACATTTAGAGCCCTCTGGAATTCTTTTTACTATGTCATACAGCAACAATTCTCAATTTAGATAGAACAAAAAGGTAATACTATCAATACAGTATATATTTATGCATGTTAATATTAGAGGTGATGATTTGGTATATAATATGTACAGAAAATATATACATAAATTATAATGAAAAATTCTTATTCTTACTCTAATTAAAATGGCTAAAGACTATAAACATTTAAATTAGGTCAAATCCAACACAGCCTTCTGAAAGGCAATCTTATAGGAAATCCTAATGGATAAATAAAATCCTTGGCCTATTTTCTTCTACTTACCTATCCCATCTATGTTTGAAAACTAATATATCTTATTTTTATGCTGAAAACATTTTTCTAAACTGGCTAGTTTATGCCACCCCCTCCTGAAGCCATTTATAATTACTAAGGATTTTCATTTGTTTAATTAATTAATAGCATAAGGTTTTAAAACAGTTTATTTTCAGAACATTTTTTCCCATCAGAGCATCTTCTTTTTTGCTGTCATATTACATAAAAACTTTTTTTTTTCTACTGCTCTGAATTTTGGGTTTCTCCCGTTCTTATAGAAATGAAGACTTTGTCATGATTAAATATGAAAAATGCTTAACTGAGGAGGGGTCAAGGCCAGATGCTTTCTCACCTCGCCAACAAAATCAACAACACAACCATCGTAATTGGCAATAGAACAGGACTCATAATCTGCAGATCTGTTTCCTGGCCACCGAGGGGCAGAAATGCATCTCTACCCCTTCTCACTCGGTCAAAGAGAAGTTAAAAATTACCTAACTAACTCATGGTTGAGATGGTTACAGGGAAGGATTTCGCGCACCCACACTTGGGCTTTAAGCAGCTATAAAAGCTGTACAATCAATGCTAGAGTATCCGTTTTTAAAACTCTGAACGTTTTTCCCTTTAGGAAATCTATCCCCCACCCGCTCCCTGCTTCCTCGCTCTCTCCTCTGCTCTTCTCTACGCAATTCGTAGTGGTGCTCTCAACCTCTTTTTAAGTCAATAAACGTTTACATTTCCTGGAAAGCGTTAGACCCTCGCTGGCCCCCTATGAAAACACAGGGGGGTTATGTTTTAGGGTCCAAGGTCTTCCTTCCTTCACAAACTTGAACGTACCAATCCAGCCTTCTTTCGCGCCTGCTGGAGCTCCTGGATCAGGTTCTGAAGCTCCTTTCCTTCCAGGTAACCACTTCCTGCAAAGACAAAGAGGTACGCAGGTGTCGGGTATCTCAGCTGACTTTCTTTCCCATTCACTTTCCACGACAGCTGTTTTTCTGGCCACCTGAGAGCCTTGACATTGATTACCCAGCTGGTGTCAAACTTCAGCTCCATTGAAGACATAGGATGATGGTTGGGGTACTGAGCGCAGCCATAGAAACTTTGGGGGAGGGAGGGCTTTCTTAGTCCCTGCTTTCTATCTCCTATCATTTACCATTCCTGGAAAGGCAAAGTTTAAATCTGGGGAGTATAGAGACGGCTGTGTAAACTTTCCCGAGGCAATTGACGAGGGGGAAGGCGAAGAGGGAGCACAGAATTAAAGAATAGAAATGAGGAAGAGGGGAAGGGAAAAAGAGTGGGAAGACGAACGGACAAGGATCTGGAAATAGTTATTAAAAAAAAAAAATCACCATCGGCGTCGAAATGAAGCCAGATCTCGAAAAACTGCGAGGCTGTAATCAGGGGTGACTGCAGGTGGGATTCTGCCATGGTCCGGCGGGCGTGCGTCTGCGGGTGCGGATGGGTGTGAGCGCGTCCGGGAGCGGGTGCGCGGGTGCAGCTGCAGAGCCCTGGGCGCTGGCGCTGTCCGGCGCTGTCCCCGGTGCTGCTCGGCCGCGCGTTCCCCCGGAGTTCTCCGCACCCCGCACCCAGTTCTCAGTATTTATCCCGACGGCCTCAAGCCGGGCCACGCCTCCTCCTGCCTCCCGTGCCTCACTCCCCGCCTCTCGCTCTCCCCAGCCGTTTTCCCCTCCCTGTTCCTCTCCTCTCCGGAAAGCTAGCGGGAACAGGAGTGTTAGGAGCAGCAGGTGGTGAGAGATCGTTTTCTCAGGGATTGGTCGCTGCAAACAGGGCTCTTTCCCTTCACATTCTTCTGGTCCAGGACCAGAATATTATACCTGGAGAGGGTTGGACTCCCAAACAGAAGGGGAAAACTGATAAAGGAAGAGCCACATAAATGCTTGCCTGTAACCTCTAAGACTTTCAATTTTGGATCAAAATCAGGGGAAATCTTGACATGTATAAATTAACCAATCATAGATATAATGAATTGGTTCGTCAAAATAATACATCTCTTTTGTGCTATTGAATACTATTATACAAATATGTTGTGAAGCGATTTGTAGACATTAGCTTTGCCAGCAAAATAAAGCAGGTTCGTGGTTGTTTCCTTCCGGCTTGAGGTAGAATAATAACTGGGAATTACAGAATCAATTTATAAAAGTCTAAAATGCTAGAAAAGGATCTTCATTCAGAGATACTACAGTTTATTGCTTTTGAATTTAGGAGCACAGCCAAGAGAAAGCAGAAATCTGGCCCCAGTGCATTTCAAGGTGAGACAGCGACCTAATTACAGCCCCTTTCAAGGACCTTCACGTCTCTCTGCTGTTCTTCGCCAAGAAATCCCTGGTCGAGAGTTTTTCCGAGAGAAAACCATCACCACTGTAGGCAACAGCTGCACCACTCCCTGTTTTTATCGTATATTTTAAAGTGCTAAACTATCAGATTGCTCACTCTCTACCCACCAACTTCTGAAGTATTTATCTTTGAATCTTTTCAGAGTTTGAGAACGACTGGAATCGTAGGCCGGGGCCTGGTCACAGGGTTGCAAAACAAAAGGAAAAACGAGAACCTCATGTTGTGATAAACTTCAAAGTGAATTAAAATGGGTTTCCCTTGATTTCTATTTTCAGTCTTGTGCAATGAAGTGTGAGAATCAACAAACGTGTGTTTCTAATATCGTGTCTTTATCCAGGAGCAGATTTCTGAGACTTTTTGTGAGTATCTTTTTTGGAACCTGAACATTTCAGGGCTGGCCAGGAATTATGCTAAATGTATTCTGACAAACTTCTAAGTGGACTCCTCACTTCCAGAGTAATTCAGTTTATAAGTTACTTTCATTTAGGTTACATTATGCATTTAAAAAAAAAAGATTTACTTATTTTACTTGCAGAGTTACATAGAGAAGAGACACAGAGTTCTCCCACCAGCTGGTTCACTTCCCAACGGGCCTCAATAGCCAGAACTGCGCCTATGCGAAGCCGGGAGCCAGGAGCTTCTTTTGTCTCCCACATGGATGTAGCTGCCCAAGGCCTTGGGCTGTCCTCCTCTGCTCTCCCAGGCCAATAGCACGGAGCTAAACTGAAAGTGGAGCAGCTGCCGCTGGACCCAGCACCCATATGGGATGCTGGCACTGCAAGTGGAGGATTACTGTGCACTGCCACCACACCAGCCCCTACCACATCCAATTTTGAAATTTACTATATGATGTGAGTATGCAGAGGTATACTATTTACGTGTTTTCACACAAAAGCTTAAATAGATTTTTTTTTAAAAAAAGATTTATTTATTTTTATTGGAAAGTCAGATTTCCAGACAGAAGGAGAGACAGAGAGAAAAGATCTTCCACCCGATGGTTCACTCCCCAAATAGTTGCATGGCCAGAGCTGAACCGATCTGAAGCCAGGAGCCTCCTCCAGGTCTCCCACGCAGGTGCAGGGTGCCAAGGCTTTGGGCCATCATCTACTGCCTTCCCAGGCCACAGGCAGGGAGCTGGAAGGGAAGTGGAGCAGCCAGGGCATGAACCAGTGCGCACACAGAATCCTGGTGCATTCAAGATGAGGACTTTCGCCACTAGGCTACTGCACAGGGCCCTAAAATGGAATTTGAGAACTAGAATTTCAGAGCTTGCTAGCCCCAATCTCAAACTGAACCAGACTTCATTAAGTGCCAAGTTACTTATACTTTAACTCATCCAATGAACTGCGATAGACACTGTAAACAACGAAGTGAAAGACATAGTACCTGCCTTCTGAAAGCTTAGGTTTAGGGGGACAGAGCCACCTGAACACCCACAATACTACATATTCATATAATGGAAGCAGGCACAAGCTACTTTGTATGCAGGAGTCTCCTAACTTTTTGCATACGTGGGAGTTAAAGTTTAAGTTATGTAAGTTACCTTGTCACTGAGAAAACTTTTTTCTACAGTAAGGCACCTCTGGGTATGAGGAGACGCAATCATGGCAAGAAAAGGCCAATAGCTTGGGCGAGTTCATTCTAATTCCTGAAAAACTAATTCAGAAAAATGATCCCGCTTATCACCATATTTACGGTAATGATCTTCGAATAAGAATATGATTTATGAACTTGGAGGGCAATGCTAGGGGATAAATTTTGAATTAAAAAAGGCAGTAAATCACGGATGGTTTGAAGTATACTGACCCTTTCTGGTCCAGGCAGAGCTGGCAATGTTTAGACTTTGACAAGAGTTTCAAGACAAACAAAAATGTTTGAAAAAAAATGAAAGAACAGAATGAACAACGAATTTTTAAATTATTTTCCATGATTGCAATGAATTTCCCTCCTATACAACAGAAGCAGCCTACGCAGGCTGTAGTTCTACTGCTTTAGAAAAGAAGTTGATCTAAAATTCAAAGGTTTTGCAGATTGTTTTAGGAAGTAAAAAAATGTTACATGGGCAAGCAACCTTTCTTTTTATTTCCCTTTCTGAAGCCGATGTCAACTGTAAAATTTTCCTGTAGGAATGTTTAGGCATTGCAACCTCCACGGGACACTAGTGGGTGCCACAGGAAAGGGGGCTCTGATGAAGGCTTTGTCCTGCGCACTGAAAATAAGAAAATTCTCTCTCTCTTTTTTTTTAGGTTTGTGCAGAGTAGCTTCAAGGAGTCGAATGCAGATTATGAAGTTCCAAACTTTCATTTTTAATTTTAATTTTTAATTCCTGTTCATATGAACAGAACAGATTTCACATATTGATAAGTACAATTCTGAAAAGATAGCCATACTTCCCCTTTCTTTTTCCCTTTTAAGTTACCTCTTAATGCTTTCAGCATGCTGGTGTAATCACTTTTAAAGCCCAGTGTTTATACAGACACACAGACTTGTATGGCCCCCCTTTTTTTTTTTGCTATTTGATTCCATAGATTAGTAATTAGAATCTGTATGTCACACTTCGATTTATAAATATCATGCCATTTATCCAAAACTAACAAACTAATAGACATCATTTAGAGCTGAATATTGTACTTTATTAAATAACCATAATTATACAGTTTTCTAACTGCAACCATCACCTTTATGTGCTTATTTAAGATGTTTTCTTTGTTTGTTTTCTATCTTACCATCTTCCTGCCCTCCTTCCTACTTTTCCTCCTCCTTTACATATTAAAACATTTTTTTACAATGACAAACTTTCAATTTCCTTTATAATCACAAGCTTCCCATAAACAACAGAATTCAACAACACTATTGTTTGGTTCAAAAAGTCTATATATATATATTTACATTTTAATAAGATGTCTGTGTTATAGCTTGGGTGCAAGTGAGTCAAGTCTGAACATGACTTATCCTTAGCAGTTTTGAATGCCATTGCCTTTATTGTAGTAATATAGGAAAAAACAGTGGGAGAAGGAGGATAAATGGGGAGGCTGGGAGGGGAGATCCCTGAGCCTATAGAACTTTATCATGAAAAATTAAAAAAAAAAGAAATAAGATACTGTGCTGATGTAATGGGTAAAAATATTAAATTTCCCCCTTTAGTTTGCAATCACTATTAAGTCATAAAATGTATTATTTGTACTTCTATGATGAAATTTCTGTTAGTTTTTTTTAAAATAGCATAAACAGTATAATTTTTTTCTCTTGAAATGATTATTGATTTCACATTGTCACTTCAAGTCCATATCTTTTTTAGGTTTATATTTTGGCCCAATTCTACATCAAGCTCTTATGTTACTAGTAAAAAAGTGTATGTTCCAACGCTATAGATTTGAAGTTACTTAAGACATTCCTTTGCTTCCATCAAATCCTTTAATTTATTAACTAATGTTTAAGGGAAGTTACTTTTCAAGTATGCAGAAATCCTTTAAATTCTAGGGTTCTGGGAGAACTGCAAATGCTTTAGTAATGAGATTTTTCCATAAGATTAGTTTCTAAAAACAACATGGAAACGAAGCACTTTTATGACTTGTTTTATAGGCTCATTACCCAAGCTTAAGGTGAATGGGTTCATGATCCAATATTGCCATAAAAGTAGAAACAATTTGTGTGAATAAAAACAAAAGGCCTCCAGGATAATGAAACTGCATCTTCCATTTCATGTTACTGAATTACTAGAACTGTAATTCATATTTGGGTTACTGCAGGATACTATTTAAATTAGAAGACTGAGAACTTCTTATGTGAAAGGTTTATTTATTTATTTGGAAGGCAGAGTTATACACTCAGGGAGAGAGATAAAGAGAGCATGAGCACAAGGGCAAGAGAGAGAGAGAGAGAGAGAGAGAGAGAGAGAGAGAGAGAGAGAGAGAGCGCTTCCATCTGCTGGCTCCCTCCTCAATTGACCACAATGAGCAGAGCTGGCCCAGGTCAATGTGAGGAGCCTGGAGCTTCTTAGGTGCAGGGGAACAAGCACATGGCCATACCATGCTGCCTTTCTCAGGCCATTAGCAAAGAGCTAGATCAGAAAT